GCCGCCGTCGGGGCGATGAGGTCACCCGGCCCGGCCGGCGCCGTCAGCACCGCTGGGGGTGGGCCTGACGTCGGCACCGCTGGCCGCCGCTACTGGAAAGTGCCCCTTTTCGGGACTTATTTGGAGAAAGCGCCGGGAGGCACCGCCTCCTTCTCCTGCTCCTCCTCCGGCGCTGTCCGCCCGCCCGCCCGGCCCCGGGGCTCCTGCCTGGCGCTGCGGCAGGCGGGCCCGTGACTGCGCACGTACGTCGGAGGCTTGCTTCTCCGTCAGCTCCAGCTTCTCTTGCGCGTCCTTCAGGTCCTCGGAGTATCTGTCCAGCTCGTCCTCTGTCTCCTTCAGCTTCCTCTGGAGCTGCACCATCTCCTCCTCCACCTGGGGACAGATGGGAAGACGCGTCAGCCTGGGGGCCACGTCCCCGCGGTGCAGGGATGTCCCCCATATTCACAAGAGTCTTCTGCCTCCGGGCCTCAGTTTCCTCATCTGTAAGACAGGGAGAAGAATTGTACGCACTACTCAATAAATGCTACCTGCTAATATGTTTTCGCTTCCTTCCCTTGTCCTGGGGACCAGCTTATTGGGGTCCTCAATACTCTAGGGGAATCGATTATAGCTTTTGGGAAACTGGGGTCCCAACACGTTTCCCAGAAACACACATTCCATTTTGCATTCCAATTTCAGGGGTGCAGCCTCCTGGTGATCTTGGGTTAAGGAGAAAGGGGAGCCTCATTCTCTGGGTCTACCCCCACCCCACACATCCACATCCTATTTTCCTCTAGTTCTGGTCCCCACACTGGCAGCCAGAGAAAATTTCTAGTAAGTCTGTCTGCCCTTCCCCTGTCTAGAGCCTGCTATGGCTCTCCAATGCCCAAGGCAGTGGTTCTCAAACTGTCTCACCAAAATATCCTGAAGGATTGAAGAACTTAGACGCTGGCACCCACTATGGTCTTTGAGGGCTTGGCAGGAAGAGACCCATCCCTCAAAGACCACTTTCTCTGAAGGCTGATTAAATCTTTAACATTTTTGCACGTTTGGTTTGGGTTCATTTTAATTAAAATGTCTCCTACCTTCGCCAAATTTTCAGTGCTCTCTGTTTATCCCGAGTCAGCCAACTCCCTCCCACTGTCCCAGTTTGAGCAGCTCAGATCTGTGGGATACAAACCACAGACCACCATCACCTCTCCATCTCTATCATTCCCCAGCACACTAGGTCAAGAGTCAGCTCAGAAATCCTTCCCTGCCACCCCCAGGCTGCACCTCTCTCCTCCCCCTCCCCACTCTGGGCTGGTGTGGCCATGTCCTGCTCATGCCTTTATCTGACTTGTGACTCAGGTGGTTTGACACCTGATCTTGTCTATGCACCCAGGGTAGGCAGGCAGCCCTTGCTGGGCCCCACTTCACTTCCTGATTTCTCGTCGCAGCAGGAGGCACAGAGAGGTGGAGTGAACTTTCCCAGGTCACACAGCACAGGATTTGAACCCACTTCTTCTGAACATAAGCCTGTTATGGATGAATGCTTGTGTCCCCCCACTCCCCCATATGTTGAAGCCGTATCCACAATGTGATGATAATTGGAGGTGGGGTTCTTTGGGAGGTGATTAGGTTCAGGTAAGATCATGAGAGTGGAACCCCCATGATGGGATTAAAAGAAGAGGAAGAGACCTGAGCAGGCTCATCCTCTTGCATATGAAGACACAGCAAGAAGGCGGCCGTCCATAAGCCTAGTAAAGAGCCCTCACCAGCTCTTTAATCTGCCAACACCTTGGTCTTGGACTTCCCAGCCTCCAGAAATGTGACAAATAAATGTCTATTGTTTAAGCCACCCTGACTAAAATGTTTCATTATAGCTGCCCAAGCTGACAAAGGCAAAGCTCCTGTCCCTGTCGCTCATGCCAAGTCAGCTTTCCTTCCTCCCTCCCTGACTTGCTTCTCTTCTCTTCCTTCCCGAAGAGGGTACATTAGAAAAGCTCCTGTGCCTGTGGCTTCTGGATCAAGCTCTGAATCTGATTTGGGTTACACACTCACCCCTGAGATGTGCAAAATGTACCAGGTACCAGGTGCTGTGTGAGTGCATGTGTGTGTGCAATTCTCAAAAGGTCTCTGCCTCAAGGCAGTACCACCAGCCTTCCCATCTTTGGGCCCACTGAGTGTCCTACAGCTGAGCTGGGGGTGGGGAGGAGATGCGGGGAGGATGGAGGCCCTACAGATGTGGGGAGGGGAATGGGGAAGAGGCTGATGTGCAAGGATCTCTAGTTGACATGCTGCACAGAGCAGGAGGGAGTGGTCTGTCTGGAGTCCCCAGGGGCACCCCGAGGATGTCAATGGTCAGCTGGGGGGAAGCAACAGCGTCCAACCCAGGATTGACAGCAGCTCAGGCCAAAGTCAGTGTCTACAGGGCCCCAACTTGACCTCAATCCAGACTGGGAGCCTGAAAGCCTGATTCCAAATCCCAGATGTGTGACCCCTGTCCTCTTCTCTGCCTCAGTTTCCCCATTTCCAAAATGGAAGCCTTGACGTGGTGGTCTCTGAATATGCTGGTAGCTGCTTTTGAACTTGTGCCTTGACTGAAAAAATAAGCCAATTTCTCTAAAGGCACAGGTCGGCCCTGACCCAGCATCCACCTGACTTCCTTCCAGGTCTGTGGATTGCAGCATTTACTGGGCTCTGTCTGTATGCCTAGTGCAGGGCTCTCTTAACTTGATATCACTGAGTTCATCAAGGGTAAAGATGGCTTGGGGTTTTGACAACTTTTTTGGGGCAATGTGTGGACAAGAATATGTGGGGCCTGGGATAAAGCAGGCAGGGGGCTATGGAGCATTTCAAACGTGTCAGGCCCATGTTACAGATACCGTCTCACTGAAGCCCCATGTTACAAAAGGGCCAATGGTCCCTGAAAAGAGAAGGGACTTGCCCAAGGCCATACAGATGTGGGTTTTGAAGCCTTGTTAGACTGATCCTGAAGCTGGTTTGCTTGGTTACTAGGCCATATTGCCCACTGCTGGGAGGACTCATACTGGCCCTCCACACCCAGCCTCAATACCTCCTGCCCCTGGTGGCCTGCCCTGCTACCCTGAGCAGAGCCCTCGCCACCCTTGGGCGCTCCCAGTCTCTGTTCCTCCCTCTGGTCCAGCCCTGACTCCTAAGGCTGAGGGCATCTGTGTCTGACTTTGTTTCCCCCAGCCTGGGCCTTACTAGGGGTCAGGCCTGGGGCTGAGATCACTTGGGCCCCAGCATCCGAGCACTGTAGGAAGATTGTGGGACGAATCACTGACACACCCCAAACCCTCCAGTGGTGGGAGATGGGTATGAAAAATAAATAAGACGGACACGAATCGGGTTCCTTTCCTTGTGTCCGAATTCCACGCACGAAGCGTTCGCTGGTGTGTGGAGCCTGGCAAGTCAATATCCTTCTTTGGGCCTCAGTTTCCCTGCCTATAAAATGGCCAGGAGGGCCTGCAAATGGGGCCTGAGGGCAGGGCTGAGGCAGGATGTGAGGTCAAAGGCCCGTTGTGGCGGATATCACTGCCCTGGGAAGGGAGTGGGCAGGAAGCTGCCGGGCTGGGCCTCCCTGACCTGTTCCCATACTGGACAGACAGGGCCAGGAATCAGGACATTGCTGCAGAGTCCCTGGAACTCAGGCTGGCCACGAGACTCACTCTCTCTGGCCTCCTTCAGCATAAGGCATTCTAAGTCAGTTGAGTCCCCTCAGCACCTCCTGCTTCCATCCCCAGGCAGGACTGCTCTGGCTTCTGCTTCAGAACTCTGGGATCTTGGATTCCATTCTCGACCATCAGAAAGCATCGTTTGCTTCCATTTCACAGGTGAGAACACCGAGGGCTCAAAAAAATGCAGGAACAAGCCCTGAGTCATAAAGCTAGGAGACCTGGATTTGGGCCCATGTCTACCCCAATGGGTGGCTTTGTGAAAACAAAACAAAATACAGAATAAAAATCCAGCTGGATATTGGAGAACCTGTCCCCACCCCTGCTGGCCACACAGCTGGCTGGGGGATTTGAGACCCTTCCCTTTTGAATTTGTGACTACCTTGAAAGATTAAGCTGTATCAGTCACTCACACCTTAGTAAGAATTAGAGCCATAACCTTGCTTTTGTCTGACTCTCTGGCTAAACCCCTCATAATGAGGGCTAAATGATGGATGGAAGCCAGCAATCCAGAGCCCAGCACAGGGTAAGCATCTGTATTTGCCAGGGAGGGGCACAAGGAAGGAGGAGGGGAATTTGTGGCAGGGAAAACTGGGGTGGGGTTGGCCTGTGCGGATGTGTCACTGTGAGGGCAGCCTGGGGACACTGGGGGATGGGGTGGCCCAAAGGGGAAGTAGGGCAGGGCAGGAAATAATTCCACATTTATTGAGCGCTTACTTTATGCCAGGCGCCGGGCCAAGGGCTCCACCTGCACAGTCACCTCTAATCCTCCCATGGAGGTGAGAAAGACACCACTGTTACTTCCTTCCTCTCACGCATGCGGCCACCGAGGCACAGAGAGGTGAGGGTGTTTGCTTCTGGGTCCCCAGTGATTGAGCCCCAGTTTGGATGGGGCTGGTCTGAGCTCCGAGTCTTTGCCTTTATCTGCCAGGCTGGCCCAGCGACTGGACTGGGAAGGGCTGGGCACTTGGTGTCACAGTCCTGGGCATTTCCAGGGGCTTATCTGAGACCTGGAGGCTCCCGAGGATTTGGCAGTTGCTCTGTTGAGGGTAATAGACCACTGTGGGTGGGGGCATTTCTTCCTCCCACCTCCTGTTCTGGCCACCCAGACAAAGACAACTGCTCTGCCCCAAGCCACAGCCACCGCCTTGGGGACTGCTCAGCCCAGGCCTCTGCCCACTGATCCTCCATTAGATCTCTGGTGCACCCCTATTGCGAGGGCCTCCTGGGAGTCTCATCCCCACAGCTCTGGGTCTGTGTGGGCTCCTGAGCTACAAAGCGGTAGGAACTGGCCCCCTACCCTCTGCCTGCCATGGGCAGCCCAGCTCCCCCTACCCCCAGGCTTACAGCAGGGACGGCAGGGGCACCCCCGGATACACAGAGACACATGGAAATGCTCAGGCCCGATCTCAACTCTCTTCCCACTCCTGCCGACCCCCAGACCCCCACCCAGCCACCCCTTTAGTGGGTCACAGACGACCCCACCACACACCCACACTCTGCCACCCTCCCCAGGCAGTTGCTGAGGTGGACCTGCCGGCTCCTGTCATAGCTGGGTACTCCCTGACACACGAGCACAGGGGCACCCACACTCACACACAGCTCTGCACTGCCACTCTCACCTGGGGACACACACACACACACACACACCCCAACAGAAACACACTTACCCCAACACACACACACACACACATGCTAACAGAAGACCACTTTCGCCCCGACACACACACGTGTGCTAACACAAACACACAGTCACCTCGACACATACATTCAATTACTGTCACACCAAGCACACACACAGCCAGCCTCTCACCCCAACACACAGACTCACACCGATACGGCCATCTACACACACAGAGACTCACAAACACATCCACACTCTTTCACACACACTTTCCAACAACTGCAGGAGCGTCCCACACACTCACACCCCTTTGTATGCGTTCACTCTGTCACCTCTGCCCCTGCACACGCTCTAGTCAAAACACACACACACACGACATACACGACACACGTGTATGCACAAATGCTCACACACATGCAAATACACAAACACACACAGAGAAATGCTCACACACACGAATACACTAACAAACACACAGCGTCCCCCCAGCCACTGCAACCAGTGCGCCCCTCCCCAGCACACACAGCACGCCTTTCTCACGGACCCCCTTCTCCCCGACCCCCCTCTCTCAACTCACTGTGCACCCACTGCTGTGACCGGGGGTGGGTCCAGTCATCCCCTTCTCCCCCAGCCTAGGGACCCTCCTGCAGAGAAGACCCTGGTCCCCTCACTCCTCTGCCAGAGCATCAGCCCCCTGCCCTCAACCCAGCCCCCAGGTACCAAGGTTTCCGTGACCCCGGCCCTGGGCCCCAGAGCCCGGCCTTCCCCGCGCCGCCCTGCGGAGGGCACCTGACCTGTCTGCACCTGTCCTCCGCGGCTTTCTTATCCGCCTCGGCCTGCTCCGCCCGGTCGATGGCGTTCTCTTTGTCTACCTTCAGCATCTGCATCTTCTTCTTGATGGCCTCCATGGCTGGGCAACGTGGCTGCCGGGCCGAGGGAGCAGGGGGTGTGGAAGGGAGGCCCTTATAGCCTCCCGGGGTGCACCGCCCTCCCGCGGGCGAGTCTTGGAGGAGGCCCAAGCCCAGGCCGCCGGGCCAGCCGCCACTCGCCTGCTCAGGAGGGTTTGGCCAGCTTGCCAGGCTCCCCGCAGCCCTCGCCTTATTTGGGCCTAGAGTTTTCTTAAAAGAAAAGAAAAAAAAAAAAGGCTGAACCATTCCCATTTTTAAGCTGGTGACACAGATCCCACGTGGGCGCCGGCACAGGGCTGGCCCAGGAAAACCTGCTGTGGCACAGCCTGGGGTGGGGGTGCTCCGGGTGGCCTCAGTTTCCCCATCTGTTGTTGGGAGGAATGAAGAGGGCTTGCGGGTGGGTGCAGGGTTGCGGTGCTGCAATGTGGGGAGACTCCTGTCCTCCTTTCTCCTCCCCTCTGGGTCTTGCCTCTAGGGACTGGGGGTCAGGTCTCCATCCCATCTCCTGCCACCACCCTGGGCAGCCTTCCTGGATTACTGCCACCTCTTTCTGGTGGATTTCTGTCTCCCCATCTTCTCCCTCCCTCTGTCTCTCTTCGTCTCTCTTTCTCTCCTCCTCTATGTCTCTGTCTGTCTCTGTCTCCTTTGGCTTCTACCACTTCCAGCTCACAAGGGCGAGAAAGGCCAGTTAGTCAACGGGTCTGGGCCGTCTCTCCAAAACTCTTGGAGCCCAGGACAGGCCCAGGGCCCTGACACCCTCCTTACGTCTTATGCCCTCCCTCCCCTGCTCAGAACCTGCTGTGGCTTCCTGGCACCCCCAGGAACAGGAGATGAGGCTTAGTTCCTGGCTCTCCACATTATACTCCTGTCCCAACTCTCCCCACACGGCCACCAGGGCTTGGCTTGGTGCGGTCCCCTCTGCCCCGTGTGCCTTCCCTCTCTCCTCCAGCAATCTGGAGTAGGATTTGTTGGTCTTGGAAAGTTTTATACACTTGTTCATTCACTCAACAGATGCAGAGTGCCTCTCATGTGCTGAGCCCCAGGAGTGCACACTCAGAGTGTGGGAACTATCACTTTTGTTATTATTTGATGATCGTGTTTGGACCGTGAGCTGCTTTGGGACAGGCCCGTGCCTTGGTCTTTTCTGTGACCCCCTGAGTACCTCGTCTCCAGAAGGTGAGAAAATGCTTGTTATATGAAATAGGCAATTCCTCCTACACGTACTCACACACACACACGCTTCTCTGACTATGAAACTTCTATTCATCCTTCAAGGCCCAGTTTGGAGATTCAGAGAAAAGCAAGTTTTTAGCTCTAATTCTCACTAAAGTGTGAGTGACTGATACACCTTAATCTTCCAAGTCAGCCACAGGTTCAAAAGGGAAGGATCCTCAAAGCCTCCAGATCAGATGGTCTTTCCTCCAGGAAGCTTTCCTGGGTTCCTAGACAGAGCCCTGGACTCCCAGCCCAGTATCAAGACTTCTACGTGAAATGGAGTGAAGATAGGGAGGCTTCATTGTTTTCACCCAAGGCTGCAGAGGGAGCGGGATAAAGGCAGAGACTGGGAGGTGGCCAGTGCCACTGGGGAGCATGAGGGTCAGGCCAAATTATAGAGTTTCCAGCTCCCCTCTGTCCCCTACCCAGCTACTTCACTCTCCCTTAAGCCAGCTTCCTTCTCTTTGTCATGGTGAGAACTTCACTGCTGTTGGCATGGGGGCTAAAAAGCTAGCTAACAGAATGTTCTGGAACCTCTTTCATGCTCCAAGGACATTGGCTTCATCCCATATTCAGGAGCTTAGGGAGCCCAGCTCAGACCCCTCCCCAGCTCTGTTCCCAATTCCCCTCCTTTATCTCCAATCCTCCCCCTCCAATGTCCTGGCCGTGCAGACTCAGCTCAGCTTTCTCTTGTGATAAAAGCAGATGGTAAAAATTGGGAGACACACTTGGGAGAGTGTGTTGCTTATAACACCAAGGCCGCGGGTTTGGATCCCTATATAGGGATGGCTGGTTCGCTCACTTGGGAGAGTGTGGTGCCAACAACACCAAGTCAAGGGTTAAGATCCCCTTACTGGTTATCTTTTTTAAAAATAATTGCATCTCAAAGAATGTCAACCATGATTAAAGGACACGAGAGAAATAAGGAAGCACTGTTCATCGACTAAGCAAGCACCGGACTCGCAGCATCTCCCTGGGCCCCGTGAGGTGTGGGGACTGCTTTTACTCCCATTTTACAGAGGAGGGAGCTGAGGCTCTTCCTCAAGACCATACGGCTTGCCCAGGCCATCCAGCCAGACCAGGTGTCTCACACAGAGGCCCCATTGTCTTTGCAACAAACTCTAGAAATTAGCTACAGTCATAAGCCCCTCCCCATTTTATAGATTGGGAAACTGAGGCCCAGAGTGGCTCGCCCATGGTCACCCAGCTTGTGAGTGACCCAGCTGACTCTAGAAAAGAGCTGGCAAGAGGTCCCAAGACTCCCCACTATGCTTTCACCCCCCTTCTCATTTTCTTGGCTGCCTCAGGCTAGGACATCAGAGGTTAGCTCCCTCCACCTCCACGGTCACCCAGAGACCCTGGGACCAGCCTCACCACAGGTGGTGTGGCTAATTGCAGGCCTGACACCACCGGCTCTGGAAAGGGATCCCTCCCACAGGAGAAGTCTGCTTGCTCCATGGCCTTGTAGGGCAGACCCTTGTCCCAGGAATGGCCTCCTGCTCAGGGAGTTCCCAGAGGTGGAATCTGATGCTGAGGAGGAGAGAAGGGGGCTAGAAACGGTGTTAGAGCCAAGTCACATCCCTCCTCTGTATCAGGGCCTTTTGTGTCTCCTGCCCTGCAGTCTTGGGAATGGACTTATGTCCTCTCTGTGTATCTGCTAAAAGGACATCCCAGGGGTCCTGGGCTGGGCTGGGCAGGTCATTTGGGGTTCTTGGCCCCCAGAAGCCCTGGCCCAGCTGTCCAGACTGTGAGGCCTGGGCCATGAGGCAGGTGGTGGCTGCTGATTATAGCTCGGAAGGAGTGAGTGCTTCTCCTGCACTATTACTCTCCAACTGGGGGCTTCTGAGGATGGGATAGGGGGAGGCAGGGCTCCCATCACCATCCCGGCCATCTCACAGTCATGGGACTCAGGGTCATTTATCGAGCACCGACCACATGCCAGGTGCTGTGCAGGTTTTAGGGGCATGACTCAGCCCAGTGGGGCAAGACCACCAATAACTGGAAATGATGATGAATACATTACAACAGGCCGAGTATGAGTTAATTACAACAGGCAACGGTTGGGCTCCCCTACAAACAGACCCTGAGACAAGAACTCGAGGGCAAGTAGTTTATCTGGGAGATGACCCCGCGAGACATGAGCAGGGGTGGGAAAGTGAGACACGGAAGGGAAGGCAGTCAGGAAACTGAGTGTGGGTCGTCATGAAGCCAGTTAGTTACCACGCGGACAGCCAGGTCGCAGTCCCACTGGGGACCTCTGGGAAGCAGCAGAGAGCACACTCTTTGGAATTGTCCCAGAGGAGGTGCGTGGGAGCTGGGTTATCTATCCCCTGATCTCCAATGTCATCGGTTGAAGGCGGCTCCTGGGGCCGTGTTGCTACACCAGCACTGCTGGCCTGCCCTTGTATGGGCCATGTCACCTTCGGCAGCTGGAGAAAGCCTTCCTCACCCTTCAGGTGCTGGGAGAAGGGAGCTCTGGGACCTAGGCAAGCCGGGAGAGTGTGGGCTAAACATGTTAAAGGAACATATCATGTGGGCATCTGACTAGTCTGGGGTGGAAGGCAGTGAAGGCTTCTCTGAGGAAGTGGCCATTGAGGTGGTGTCTGAAAGGTGGGGTGGCAGTGGCAGAGCATATGAAAGGTCGCAGGTGGGAGGGACAGAGCAGGTGGGAGTGTCTGCCTTGAGTGCAGAGGCGGGGGTGGATTGTGGTGGGTGATGAGGCTGCAGAAATGAAACAACAGAGAAGATTATGGGGATCCCCCCAATGTATCCTGTGGAGTTTGAAGCAGAGACCGAGGGGATGGAGTGAATTTACGGATAGAAAAATGAAAAGATGTTCTTAGCTTGTGCCCTATGGAGTCTTGTTCATTGAATAATAATATGACAAGTGTGATGATAAAAATGGTCCTGGCTAAGGATGATCCAGATATGTCGCATCACATGCCAGGCACTGTGCCAAGCAGGGCATGTGCAGGGTTGGGGGAAAGGGGGCTTTCGACCCTTCACCCAGAACCTGAGCAGTGTGTACACGGAGGCTCCCAGCAGCAAAATTGCTCACCCACGGTCACACAGCTGGCAGGTGACAATGCCAGGATTTGAGCTGGAGTCTGTCTGATTTCTGGGGACCCTGAAACCACCAGTGCCCCTGTCTTGCTGCTCCATTTATTGAGAATTACCTGGATAGAGCTGCTGGCCAGTTAGTTCAGTTGGTTAGAGGGTGATGCTGATAACACCAGGGTCTGGAGTTTGATCCCTGTACTGGCCAGCAAAAAAAAGAAAGAAAAAAATAATTACCCAGCAAGTCAGTGTGGGAGGAAAGAGCAAAGGACCCCATGTGGCTTTTCGAAGTCTCTGAGGCACACTCTAAGGGAACCATGTAGGTTAGGAAGCTTGCCCACGAATTCTGAAGAACAGACATAACCACAAGCCTGGCAGCATTGTCATGATAATTAAAAATAATTATAGTTAACACTGACATGGCCTCGATGTGCCAGTGCTGTTCTAAATGCCTTGCATATACAAAGTCACTTAATTTTCACAATGACTCTGTGAGATGGGAGCTATGACTATTCCTGTTTTACAGAAGGAGAAAATGAGGCACAGAAAGGCAAAGTAACTTGCTCAAGGCCACACAGACAAGAAGGGGCAGAGTTGAGATTGGAACCCACGCTGCCTGACTCCAGAGTCTACATACTGAATCACTAAGCCCTGAGCACCTCCTCTGCTTGACCTCCTGCCTGAGTTATCCTCACCAGCCACAGTCCATTGGGTGTGAGAATTGGAAAACGATT